GGCCAGGAGGTAGAATGTCCAGCGCCAGTGTAGGTTGGATGCGACGAAGCCGCCGATCAAGGGGCCGAGGACCTGTATCAAGGTTAGTTCATGTGTATTGCAGGTCAGTGATGCATTTAGTGTGAAACAGAAGGGTAATACATACCGGTCCAGCCATAGGCCCTAAACTGTACAACGACATAGCGAGAGCGCGTTGCTGGATAGTGGTTACATCGGCAATGGTCCCTCCCCCTAAGGCCATGGGAGTTCCTCCCGCGCACCCTGAGATAAATCGACAGACCATAAAGGTAGCTATATTTTGGCTTAAAGCGTTCCCAATCACAAACGCTATGAAGAAGAGATTGGCGAGATGGTATATCGGAAGACGGCCATAGACTTCGCTCAGCGAGGACATGAACATCGGCCCCATTGCTAAGCCGAGGACGTAGAGGGTGACTGCGAGGGTGGATATGGTGGATGATTGGATATTGAAGTCGCGGAGAACTTCGTTGATGCCGGGGGCGCACATGGTTGGGCCCATGTTCCTGGAGAAATAGGGTTAATGTGGTCTTGTTAGTGGGGGTTGCACGTACATGACTAGCGATATGAGGGCTACCACGATGACATGTGCCCATCGCTTGTGTTCGGGCCAGTTGTGGGGATTTTCTGGGTCTTGGGGACCATCCCAGTCGATGATGTTGCTATCGTTTGGGTTGTCGTCAAGCTGCCCAGCCTCGATGGAGGTTGAGCTGGCGGTTGGTTCGGTTTCTTTGGTTGCCATGGTTGTTTGTAAGCTTGCGATGGATGTCATTTGAAAGACGATGTTTGTAGATCATTATTTATTTATGTGTCAGTGGGATAAAGATGAGCTGTATCCTATCTCCGTTCAACTGTTAGGATCGTATATGCGGTCTTCCTCCGCTTAGGGCCGGTTGGTACGCATCTCGGCTTGCCGCCGTATATACGGTCCGATCTCCGAACACGGCGGAGGACCGGGTTTTGTGCTATACGCAAGCTTCTTTCTGGGTCTCTTCAGCTTGATAAATATGGTGCACCTCTTAGTAGGGTATCTTCTCGGTTGGGTATCGTGTGTCAAAATTAGCAGGGCAGAATCAGTCATTAATCAATGGCCTTTCGCATCACTTTCTTAGCTCCATACATCTTGATCGAGCAACGGTCCCTCATCCTCAGGTAATAACGCAGCTATTATGCATACAATTAGTTGACTTGTCATACTTACGAGCAGGCATAAGAAGCCCGGTAATGCAAATTATAGTTCATACACGCTTACTTGCGCTTGTCTAGGCATACTATTCATGTAAGGATCGTGTAACAGTATTTGGAATGTGGTGGTATCATAATACTTCATTCAAAGACCACCGTAAAAACAAATCAACATTGGGGTATTATTATCATATCAATCTTCGCTTTCCTAAATCATTTCTCGTGCGCGTTGCTAAGACATGCGGTTACGGTGCTCTACTCTTACTCTTCCCTGAGAACAAAGCAGTCATTTGCTATGATTCCTTGGAATCGACGTTAAGTCTCAGCGATACATATGACACAGCCAGTCCTACTCATGGAGAACCACGTGACGAAGATTCAGTGGTGTACTCAGAATCAGACGCAGTTGACTGCTGTGCAAGATCTCCGATAGCGCTGATATCAAGATCTAACTCTGATTCTGTTTCTGAGTATTCCGGATCTGACGGATAGTCATCTTCGAAGTCATATTCTGACCCTGGAGGATATTTGGGAGTGTCTAACACTTGGGGTTTATTCATCGTCTGCTGATCTAAAGTGCTCAGTGGGTTTCTGGGGGTGGCAGGCAGGTTAGCATCACCAACGTTGGCGTGATTGGGCCTCCTTCGTTTCTCTGGTCGTTCTAAGCAGTCGTTGCTGTTTGCGATGGCAGCCACGGTTGAGTCAGGCGGCAGTGGTCGTTTGGCCAGATTGGGCACGGCCTGGCCCTCAGCTGGGGGAGCTGGGGCTGGTTCTGGTTTTGTCTCTGGGTATAGTCTGGACTTGTGCTTCCGTAGTTGTCTGAGCTTCTCCAGGGCGGCCTTTCGCCGTTTGCAGCCCTTGCTGTTAGCAGGATGTGGACCCTTGCAATTAAAGCAGCAAATATTTGTTGGTTTCGGGCAGTTTTTCTCGTAGTGATCGTACGCACAGTATAGGCAACGATTGTACAAAGAAGTGCACTGGCGTGTAGAGTGTCCAAACCTCTGGCACTTTGTGCATTGCTTAAACTGATGTTCTATAGCAAACCTTTTCACTCTCCTTGGAGTACTGTTATTCAAATAAAGGACCCCAGCCCTTAACAAGGCATTTGCATCTTCCGGCCGGTCAAAACTAACAATGAAGACGCTTTCGAACTTTGGGGTTTTCGGGGCCTCGCCTTTTTCCACCCACCCGACGTAGGGGATGCAGGCAGTAAACATATGTGGGTTGTGAAGCATAATCTGTTGCACAGCATCGCCGTTTGTCAGGCTGCGCTCGGAAAACCAGTCCCTCGGAACACCGTGCACCATGACAGACCAACGGCTATCGATAACACGACCCCAGTTGCCTTCCCTGAGGTCTGGTATCCACCTGTCACTGTAAGCTACGAGGATATCCGCGCCCTTGCGGCTCGATGTGTAGACGTCGACGTCGCCCGATGGAAGCATTTGGACGCGGGAGATGTGCACATTTAGCAGCGCATCCGAAACCGCATCCTCCACCTCACCAGTCACGGTTGAGGGATTAATATGCAGATAGGGCGGCGCGATCAGGTCCCAATGAACACGGACTCGTTTATCATTGTCGGGGTCGTCGATGGGCTCTTGTGTAGGCAAATTCGAATCGCTCGTGTCGGTCGCCGATGATTCAGACAATGATGGTGAGGACTGGTTAGGGATAACATCTGGGGTTGCGACTGAGGCTGTACCACTAGCAGGCAAAGTCTTCGTCTTCGCTTCCTGAACCGTATTCAGAGCTTTTACCCAATCTCGGTACAGATGTAGCGCTTCGTCGCATGCTTGCGCGCAGTTCATATGATCATCTAGCAGGACTGAAATCACTGTGTTCGCTGCTTTGGCGAACCCTTCCACTGCTGATGCTTGCAGATTCGACTGGGGTCTGTTCCTGGCGTGGGATTCCATGGCCTGGCAGTGAGCGATAAGTCGGCGTGCTGCCTCTAAGACATGTTGTCCCGATGTATTTGGAAGTACCGGCCATTTCTTGCGTGCCATTTTTATTGACTGGTCTTTGATGTGATGGCAGTCATGAGAAGTGTGTGATGACCGCGACGGGAGTAGAGAGCGACAAGGTAACAAGGAGAGAAAATGGTCTTAAGACGCGTTGAGGAAGGTACAAGTGACGCGTCAGGACTTTAAGAAAGGGATTTGCATAGTCCCCTAGTTGATTACTAGTGAATGACACTGCAGTCAGGGGCGCAGAGACCATGATTGGTGGGTCTCGTGCTAGGAGCTTATGAATGCTTCAACCGGCCTGATTGATAGTGAATAATAGATAGATCAGATCCAGATGTGATGAATCGTGTCACAACTTGACGGTCAGCAATATGGATTTCGGGTATCGGAGTTGTTCCGAATGGCTGATGGTAAAATAGACATCGTCTTGACTCTGTCCTATCAGCTTGTCACACCCTTAAATGGGCATACGATCGCGTTGTTGCGGATGATCATGATTCAAAGCATGCACTAAACCCGGTCGCTTCTTGGGGGATGGCCCGGCGCTAATGCTGTCAACACCAACTAACTAATCAACTTATTCTGGAGTAGTAGTTCACTACCTGACGTGTCACTTAGCCGCCGAGGCTTCATTCAAGAGAAACATTCATCTCATGAAGCTATTCATACATCCATTCCTACTACTCTATTCCCTGGGTTACCCAGGACTCCGATCAGGAACGTCTACTAAACAATCCCTACCACAGCATCCCTTCCAAAGGACCGTCTCCATAGGATTCCTACCAATAACCCTCTTTTACTCCATACAATGCATCCCACCGGATACCAGAGCTATGAAGTACGAATCCAGATCTTGACTCTCTGGGCATATGGCGTCTCTACGCAGGAGATCTCTACCAAGATGAATGTTCCCTTGCGTACCATCCAGGGAATCGTTAAGCGAGCGAAAGAGCGGGGATATAACCCACAGGCTGACTTTCGCATTCGGAGGGAATATGTAGAGGATGGCAAACGGTCTGGCCGTCCGAAGAATAGACTTCAACCGGAGGAACGCAGTGGACACGAAGATGTATCAGGAAACGATACAGACAATTGAAAGGATTAAAAGGTCGGAAGCGATTACTCTCAACTCTCCAGGTGTTTTGAATAGATTCATGCTTTCTTATCTGGCTTGTTAATCCCTCCACAATCATCACATCGCGTTGTCTTCCTCATCTACAGTAGAATCCTTCCAAATCACATCCGTAACGAGAGACGATAGGGTGATGTGATCTGAGGCGTAAGGGGTTGAGATCTTATTCTTCCTTGGGTTCAACAAGCTCCGCTAGATCATCTAGCTAAAAGCGTGGTGTTCTGTGCTTTCATACTGCCTTCTCCCTATGCCTACCTTGACGAGCTGATACATAATGATGAAGATAGTAGTACGGAGACATTATGAGTTATTAGCACGATAGGTGTTTTGGAATCTAGACGCTTACTATATTCCTCAACCTCTACAGAATCCGATCCCAAGTCCAACTGATACAGTCCTCTAATGCGTATAAAAGGCCATGTTGGACAGGGAGTGTTGGTGCTAGTGCAGTTGATGGCATACAAAACAGGAGCAAGAGCAGGTAGGAGTCACGGCCCGGAGAGCATTTGCAAGGAGGGTTCAGCGTGGCTTCCCAATACATTACCTTACGCAGTAGTGGTGCAGAATCACAGACACACACACACACTAGACTGTATTGACACAACAACCCTCAGCCGTTCAAATAGTGCGCTTTGTAGAGGTTGAAACTATATGCCATACATAAGGCATAGTGTTGGCCGGCTCTCCAACGAGTAGTCTCGGTGGCGCAATTGGTAAGCTTGCCCTTTATGAAAACAACACCCAATGACTCCGTTACTAATTCAGCATTACAGGTTAGCGCGTACGACTGTTAATCGTGAGGTTGAGAGTTCGATCCTCTCCCGGGACGCTTCTTTTTTTTTTTTTCTTTTTCTTTTTCCTCTTCACTCTTCCTTCCCGCTTCTTCTCCACCGGCACTTCATATTCGGGGTTAATCCGTGGTATTATACTTTTAGGTTGCTATATTAGTGCTGTGGCGTACAATAGCTTGCCAAAGCCGTCACTGGTGGACTAGTTAGTTGAGGCCATTTCGCCCACGATTACCCGAAGTTGCACCATTCTTCTGTATTCCTGATTGTTGGGTTGGGAATCCCCGAGTCAGCCACAACCGCCCCTGGTGCCCCTTAAAGGCTGGCAGTTCGACTGGAGGTGAAACATCTTATGCCTGATAGTAAGACATACGATGCAAAAGCATTCCCTTCTGGATTGTTGTCAGTACTCAGTAGTAGTGGTAGTTATACGGAGTATTATGTGAGTGTAAGATCTATTGCTGCTGACCCACAATATATACTTCGCATCCTCATCCAACAAGTGGAAAATTGCAGGAGGCATCAACATCCATTTTGAAACAAAAAGCAATCCTGCTCCTGCCTTCGTTACAGCTACTACTCCGGAATAAGTAGTACTATTACCATCTCGGTCATAAACCACCTGCTTCGAGTCAATCTGGCTCCAGCGCAAAGTATAATCCTGCAATGAGCAGACCACCTGACCAGAACACCAACCTTTCGACTGGACTTTCGAGTGCTCCTTTCTAGTAGATGACTCTCCTCGGATCATGGCCCCCACCGTTTGCTTATCACGGCTCATGGGGCTGACTCGGTGGTCAAGGATCCTCGACAGCCTGATGAACGGATGGTCCGGTGAAAGTCAGAAACTATCAGGATTCCGACGGTCCAGCGCGTAAATCCGGGCGTTAATGTTGACCGCAAGGGGCCAAGTCAGTGATTGCACCACACGAACTCTATCCCCATCATCACCGCGCTGCAGCATTCACCACATCCCTTTGCTTTCATCACATGTCAGTCTGTCTGCCAAAGAAGCCGACCGGAGACCGTCGTCCATCCGACCAGCCGATAAAGCTGCAGATGGTGCTAGATAGCATGCAAGTCTGCGGTCGATACCTTGTGCTGTCTAGTACGTGCAGTTGCAGGATCCACGCACCGGTGCGATCATGCATCAGGCTAGCCTTGTCATCTGTCTGACAGTCTGACTACCGACGCTCCTGCAGGCACACTAGTCCACTCAGCCGAAATCACCGCCCACTTCTTCACCCGCAACTAAGCTTTTAACCTCCTTTTTGTACCTCCTTCTCTGGTTAAGCCTAGTTTAATATATACCCTCTAGTTTGATTGGCGGAAAGCAGACGGATCACTAAATGGCCCCCCGCTCTTCAGAGCCCAACTCAGCCAGGCGCAGGTGGGTTTACTTCTAGAAACGCTGCGGATCGTGGAATTGTACGGCCACTTTTGTCCGGCACACGCGGCCTAGCGCATGGCGGCACTCTGCAAATGGGTTGCCTCTTCCTGCGTGACGGAGAGCCAGAGGGCCATTGGTTTGTAGCCCCTTGCATGCCAACATGCCAAAGCGAATTCTTCGACGACCATGGCACGCCTTGGATCAGGCACGCCTGCTGATTGGCGAGCTGTAGAGCACCTGGGGGCTAAATCCTGTGTTTGCTTTTTGCAGCGCCAGGAGCGTTAGTCACAATTGCTTTTGTTCGTGATGTCTCCTATCACCGGTCGGTTCACCGAGTCGTGATTGATTAATTCATTTCGAATCCTCTCCCGACACCTCGGTGGCAGCTATGGGCCGTTGACAGCCGTCAAATCCCCGCTTCATCTGATCTATAAAGAGGGCGACGCCACCGTTGGTGAAGCCTGAGGAAACTCGCAGATCGTGCCTTCAAGAGTGTCCTGTGCTGTATTGCCTGGCTCCAAAGATGTTCTTTCGCAGGGAATGGGGGGCTCTCGCAGCCCTATCAGTGCTGGCCCATGCTGCTCCCACTCCTGCTCCGATGGAACGGAGAGGTAAGCTGCTCTCACTTATCCCTCTAAGGAGCACCCACTAATACGCTCAGACATCTCGTCTACTCTATTGGACAAGATCGATCTCTTTGCCCAATACAGCGCAGCAGCGTACTGCTCCTCCAACATCGAGTCCACCGGCACGACTCTGACCTGCGATGTCGGCAACTGTCCTCTCGTTGAGGCCGCCGGTGCCACCACCATCGATGAGTTTGACGAGTAAGCCAACCCCCATCTTCTATATGTCTACGTCCCACTTACAGTCCCCTAGCAGCAGCGACTACGGCGACCCGACTGGGTTCATCGCCGTTGACTCGACAAATGAGTACATCGTGCTGTCGTTCCGGGGTAGTTCCGATCTCGAGAACTGGATTGCCGATTTAGATTTCGGCCTCACCTCCGTGAGCGACATCTGCGACGGCTGTGAGATGCACAAGGGCTTCTACGAGGCCTGGGAAGTCATCGCCGACTCCATCACATCCAAGGTGGAGGCCGCCGTCTCCAGCTATCCGGACTATACGCTGGTGTTCACGGGACACAGCTATGGCGCTGCCTTGGCTGCGGTTGCGGCCACAGTGCTCCGGAATGCCGGATACACGCTTGATCTGGTACTACCATAGCTCTCTGATTCTCTATAAGAATAATTTTCTGACAAATATACAGTACAACTTCGGCCAGCCCCGTATCGGCAATCTGGCTCTCGCCGACTACATCACCGATCAAGACAAGGGCAGCAACTACCGCGTCACGCACACCGACGACATCGTGCCCAAGCTGCCTCCGGAGCTGCTGGGCTACCACCACTTTAGCCCGGAGTATTGGATCACCAGTGGTAATGATGTGACGGTGACTACATCGGATGTGGAGGAGATTGTGGGAGTGGATTCCACGGCCGGCAATGATGGGACGTCGGGAGACAGCACGACTGCTCATCGGTGGTATACCATTTACATTAGTGAATGTTCGTAGAGCATTGGTGCAGTGAGATTATATAGTTACTTGGACTGAATTGTATATAGTCTCAACGGGGAAGTACATAAGATGGACAGATCATAACACTACTGGTTGGAAGCACCTACTAACTTGTTCACTTTTCAAGTGTAATTGACTCGCTACGGTTAAATGTGTCTTGACCTAAAGACACGGAGGTCAGAGTACTGCAAGTACTGCAGTAATATTCCCGATAAATCCCCGACCCGTCCCTCCACTTCACCTCTAGATCGTGCATCCTTAAAGTCAAAATAGACTGACCTGCCCCCCCCCCCCCAACTGATTATTTCAAGAACTAACTGACCGGGAACTCTCTTCAAAGATCATCCCACAAGCATCCGACGGAATGAAATTATATAACATCAATCACCACAAGGAATGGCGTTATTCATATAACTACGGAATAAATCATTCCTTCGAATCACGCACGGGACTATCTACATCTATACTAGTAGATTCTCCCACGGGCTGGTATAATCGCTGGATGTGAAGATGACACTTTCCCTAGTGTGGCCCAAAAGAAAGCTTGGTTTTGAAACAGTAGAGGGTCCTACAGCTTCGTTTAATTGTCTTTCTTTCTTTCCTTTTTTTTTTTCCCCCTAAAGTACTGGGCTATTTCGATCTACTTGATTACACATATTGGCTCGCAAAACTGCAGAGTCCATCGTGTGCCTTTTTCTGGACCTATAAGTGGATCTAGTCATAACTATGTAGAGCATCTCCAAGTCATTATTAGACTACTATATAGTTTAAGGAATTTCAGTCTTTAGTGAAAGTTCCATTCCCGTATTAATGGACGACGTATCGAATCAGCTTGTCGAGAGCTATCAAAATAGCTTGAATATGTTGATCACTTTTCCTCTCCGAAACCAAAAAATAAAAATAAATAAAAATAAAGATAGAAATAAAAAATAAATAAAAAAATAAATAAAAAATAAATAAAAAAAAAAGTCCTAAGCCAGTAGCTGAGTCAACAACCTGTCAATTCTGCTAGAGCTCAACCCTTCAATCTTCACATTTACGATCCCTTGACTGTCACACTGGCTAATAAGACTTAAGCCTCCCATACTATTTGCTGGCGGAGCTGAAATGGCTTATTTTTTACTTACCAACTAAAGGATGCAGCTCAGTGAACTTCGATGGTTCGACACCAAACTTAAGTCGAGGATCAGTGGATGAAGGGGTCAAAACATCCTCGGCTGTGCCATCGCACCAAAATTCGACCGAGACTTCACAAGGGTTTTCGAAGGCCATAGTTTTCCACCTAGCTTTTCCCGCAGAGACCGTAACACCTACTCTCAAAAGATTAGTATATATTAGTGTGAGCAGCTTGCTAATAGTCTCTGACCGTCTTCGGCATACACAGATACCTCTCCACTCATGAAAGGCGCGATATCACTGTCAAACTTCACTCTGTCTCCTTGAGCCAATTCTAGGGTCCCTTCGTACAAGGGAAACGCCCATTCATTGATGATGGTAAGTTTTGTGGCACTGGATGATGACATTGTGTGAATTTGTTTTGTATGTATAAGAGGAGTGAATGAACTAGGACTTGGTATCGAGGCGGTGGTGGTGGTTTACATTGTATCATGAGAGAACATTGCTACCCTTTATATAGATCGATCCTGTGTGAAATTCTGCCATTTTGGAACCTACAAGGAACATCATCATCGTATTACCATTCATTGTATGACATAACGACAATTCTAAAGCGCGTCATATTCCTACCAGTTGTCAGAAATATCATTGGACCCCCTGACAGTACTAACTTTTCATTATAATAGAAATCAACGCGTAATATATCACTCATGGGAAATACGGATCGTAACTCGAATGAGATGGCTAGAAGGTTCGATGAAGCTAGGTGATGAATTACTGCTGCAAGCGGCATGGATGTATGAAAGCTAAGCAGACTAGTGTGATGCAATAGAAACCTACTTGCTTTACGGACCAGTAGTTCCTACAGATGAGTGCTAGGGTCAAGATCTGTAAAGTTGCCTGAATTCCTAAATCATTAGTACTCTCTAGGACCGGTCGCCCAAGTCAGGCAGGG